CCAGCAGCAGTGGCGCAACCAAGTTAATTGCAGGGCTGCACCCTTATCTTTTACACAGGGGATGCGTGTAGATATTGCGAGAAATAGATATTTCCTTTTCCAAAGGGAACATATTTACGCCCGGGATTTAGCTATTTTAAATGTGTGTATTCTTTTTTTTAAACAAACAAATCAGACGGCACGCACGTATTTACTTCTTAGAGGGCTCATCAGTGCGGTGGTGCAGATGAACGCTTGCCAACGGAAAAGATAAGACATGCCAACGAAGCGCCTGCTCCGGACTTTCGCAAGAGCAAACAAAGTGGGGGGGGGGGGGGGGGGGGATACGACGGCAGTTCAAAAAGACGCTGGCGCACCACTGCAATTGCCTGCTTATGCCACTGCTGGTAGAAGAACCTCCACCAGAGGGAGTTCTAGAGAGTCCCTCTATTTGAAATATATTGCCCATATGCCAGCCAAATGCCTTGGTAAGAGGTGGCAGTATCCACGCTTTATCCCACCACCTGCTTTGTGCACATTTTTCTACTGCTGGATGAACAAAGAGTGTTGTTGTTGGGGGGGGGGGGGTGGGGGGGCAGTGGGAGGAATGAATAAACTTGCACCATCGTTTCAACCTGCCACACCGCGGAGACCGAACTGGTGGCCTCTGCATTGCCAGTCCAGTGTGTTAACCCTTACACCGCGGTAGCTTCCCACTAACATTGTAGTGGTGGCGAGATATTAACTACCTCACTTGGTATGGAGGAGGTCATGGGTTCTATCACGACCCTGCCGCCTGTATATTTGGAGTGTTGCAGCTTCTCTCTGTGGTCGTGTGGATATTTCTCTGGGTCCTCCGGTAATTCCCTCCACATTTAGAGTGAACATGCGTTTAGAGTATTTGGCTGCTATACATTTCCACGTGATAAGCCACTTAATTGAACTATCATTTATGGCCAGGTCGCTTCTGAAAAATAACTATACAGCTCAGTGGGCGTTAAATGATCAGATAAAAATAGTTGAATTGTTTGGAAAATTGTATGGAATTAAAGCAAATATTTCGTATTCAATATTAACACTGGTATACTTTGTAATATTCTGTAAATGTTTGTAAAAAAAAAGTTCAACTGCGTTTGTTAACACTGTGCCCCACCTAGAATGCTGATCTCATCACATCTCAATAGATGCATTCATTCCACTCTGTTGAGTGGGTGTGCCGAAGAAAGGCAATAGTAAACATCTGAGCAAGATTTATTCAGCATAAATTGGTATGCCAAGAAAAAAATCCCGACAGACTCCAGACACTCCGTATTGTGTCTAAAACACTGACAGGCAAAATAACATGTACAAGAACTAACTTAATTAATGCGAAAGTGAGATAACACTGTTGGCTGCACAAGAGTGTGGGCAATGATGTTTAGTTACGTTTGTGCTCTATAGCGCAGTGGAGCGGAAGTGTACGATAATGATGAGGGCTGCACACATACGGAATAAGTAAACATAGTTTTACACGTCAAAAACACATTTTCCTGTGGAGGGAGCTGGTAGGAACGTTGGGTTGCTCGGTCAATGGCCAGGGTCAACGGCGGCACCACGTGGTGTATTCGGCAAATATGCCCGACTGTGAGGGCAGGCACAAGCCGGCGTGAGTAGGTTAAACGTTGAGTTTTATAAGGGCACCACGGGGTGACCAGCCCCTCCCCACCCAGCCACACCCCTCCCACCCCCACCCAGCCCCTCCCCACCCAGCCCCTCCCCACCCAGCCCCACCCTCCCCACCCAGCCCCTACCCACCCTCCCCACTCCACCCAGCCCCACCCCTCCCATTTTTGGATGCACGACGGACGGACGGACACAATAATCCCCTGTGGGCTGGTGTAACCAGGAGGTTCCTACCAGTATAAGTTGCTGTGCTTTTTAAATCCACTGTTGGTTGACGCCTGTCCCATGCAGTGTCAGTCCAGATGGCTTGTTTGACCAAACTTCACCAAACTGGTCAGTGCACGGTTGGTGAAAGGGGGTGGGGGGAGGGGGCAGGAAAAGTTCAGATATCTCTCACCACAAATTTTAGCCTTGGCCAGGAATCAAACTCATGTCGCTGTGTTCATGGTGCAGTGCGCTAATCACTGCATCACCGCTCTCCTCCAAAAGAGTATTGTGCATACGTATAATTGCGTGGAGAATAACCACTGTGCATGCGTTCATTAAAACCAGCCCTACAATTCTCAACAGTATTTAATTTGAAACAAAACGATCTGTTTTTTTGTTCTTGCAAAGCCACAATCAAATCGCACTAACAAGGGCATTGCCTCAGCCGCTGACACCAAGGCTCCACTTTATATAAAAGAGCCCCAAGTCATTTAAGAACCACCGTGTGGATATGCACTTCTGCCCTGGTGATGACTGGTTGGACTCACACGTCGCCCCTCAATGCGCGCACATTTTATATTTCATACACGTGAGCTGCTCCATTCAATTTGGCAAGGAAAGTCCTTCTCTTAACCGTTTAACGGTGGAATGATGTACGCCCGTAATGATATATCTTTAGGTGAGATTTCCAGCGCCAAAGCTTTGCATAGTAATGAACTGCAGCAAAAGCATTTGGTTCTGAGCATTTATTTATCTTTATTGCCACAACAACTTTGGCCAATCTATACCGCTCATGTAAACATTGGATTGCTGCAGCTAATTGACTGATGGGTGCCTTTTCTAACGTGTGATTTTTTTATTTAACCAGCAATGGGATACTTAATGGGCTGTAGCGCTATGCATCATCCATACACTGGGATAACATCCACACACAGGACTTGATCGTAAGACTTACCCAAATAAATGGCAGCATTAAAGAGGGCACCAAGCAAGCTTGAAATTAAATCCATACACGTGCAGTCCAGTATATAAACAACCTGGTGTTGCTTGAATATTTTTGTAGCATGCGCCGCCAGCTTCATTAATAATTCAGCAAACTCTAATAGCGAAATAAAGCCGATTTTTTTTAATATATTAAATTTCTGCAGGCACAACATAACTAGAACTGTCATTAATAGCAAATTAAATTAATTTCATTACACATGTATTAAGTATTAATGGACTAAAATAACAGTTTATATAAAAAGTAAATAAACCACAGTGTTTTTATGAAAATATTTATAACTGGATTTGATAGTGGAATAAAGTTGAGGTAAGTCTATTCACAAGAAAGTGCCTATGACGCGTAGAGATCATTTATTGAACGACCGTTTAAATGTGACTCTGAAAGCGTCCGAAAGTTGGTCAAATTCCATTACAAAAAAGAGTCACAACAGCTTAATGTGAATCTTAAGCTCCACAGCTGTGTGCTGGCTACGAAATTGATAATAATATTATTCGTCTGATTGCATACTATATAATAACATATGCAATCAAAATAGATGCAATCATTAAAAGTGTGATTTTTTGTCCATAGTATTTTTGTCTTATTTTTTTAGCTGTTTATATTTTTTTGTCAATTTGGGGACGAAGAACCGTCTTGCAATTGAAACTGTTCCCATTCTCTTACGCTCTCACCTGGTGACACGAAATAATTTGAACCCTGTGTGTTTATGCTGCTGTTGTTCCTTCTCTCATTGTCTCCACATAGAATGGTCTTCTGTCCAAATAATCGCTGGTTGTATCAAGTATACCAGTGTTCAAAAATACAAGTAAATACACATCACACAGTTTTGGTGAGTTGTGCATACCGCCTGACACTCAGTCCGCTCTTTGTAATGCTGGTTAGGCTACGTGGATTAACATGCAATTTTAAATGTATAGTCGTTGTTCTTCATGAAATGCTTATTAAAATTGTAACTAAATATTAGTAGTTTGTTATTACAAGTATAATATTTTTTTTCCAAAAATATACCAGCGCCGCTTTTCATAAAAGCCAAGTGTGCCCAAGTTTTTGTATTTTATATTTTCGTTTTAATCTATTCAGTGATCATTCCTGCATTTGCCATCACTGTCAACAAGTCACAAGGACAAACTTTCAAATCTGTTGGACTTTTATCTTAAATAACCTGTTTTTTTCCCATGGACATAAAAGTGTTGATTCAACAAAATTAATCTCAAGGAAAACTTTTGAGAGTATATCGTCATTTTAGACAAAATGTGATATATATAAAAAATATTACATAAATTCAATACAATCTTAAATTTTTTGTATTTTACGTGACACTTAATTTTTTACGAACCCGTCATATGACGTGCAATTACACGAGTACATAATCAACCAGTAATTTCAACTTGTATCACGCACAGTACTCACTCACCCTCGTAGAGAATGAACGACTCAGAGGCGCGAGGATCTACAGTCAAGCAGGGGGATACAGCCACGGAGTGAGCCAACACCAACAATTTCCCAAGTTCTGCGGTCCTCTGCATGGTAAGGTGTTATCGACCAACGAATTCGTGTTTACGTTGCGCGAGGAAACCAGAGCACGCGGAGATAGCCCGCGCGTGCGAAGGGGAAGCACTCAATCCCATATTGACGAAATAAGTGGATTAAAGAAGGGGTCACAAGTGATGTCATCACATCTACCCCTCTGTTTCAGGAACGAAACAGGAGGATTTCTCCACAAATTCGCCTGTCGCCTGATTAAGCTAGTTGTAATTACTGGCGAAACGTCGTACTCAGATTGTAAATGTTGTGGCTCTGCTCTCCAACACACCGGTGTTGCTGTACTAGTAGACTACACTATACACTACTATACACTTACACACTAGTGCTGTACTAGTAACGAATTGGCCACGTTCTGTTTACGTGAACAAACCTTACGAGTTGCGCTGTGGCGTGTGGGGGCGGGTTTAACGACACGTTTATACATTCACGCGATTTAACCCAAGAAAACCTGTATTATGGGTTCCACGTGTTTGCTGTACTGCATTATAGTGGCGAGCCAGGGTGTATCTGTTATTTTTTGGGTCTTTCGGTAAAGTCACGTAGATAGGCTAAAAGAAAATAACAAAAACACTTTCTTTGAACCTATCTACGTGACTTTACCGAAAGACCCAAAGAATATGAATTCCTGCAGTCACGAAAGCTTTAAGTCACGGTGTATATCTTCTTGATGACCACGGGAAGGGATTTTCACAACATTTGTATGATGCACAAAATATCACCTCCACAGTGCTGGATTACAGGCGTGCACAACCACTCGCTTAAACCAAAATATATAAGTTACAATTCACGACATGCTTTTTAAAGTAAGTGTGATCTGATACATTTGCATTTAATGCACAACGTATTTGTGCCAAGGTCTTTTATTTCCAGAAAATGTGTGTTCAAATAATCACATTGACACGTGTCCACCCCTATAACCTGCAGAGATTGCTGAGGCGAGCATTATTGTGAAGCACCTATTAGGTTTAGGCATTGCACACCAAGCGATGGTAGAACCATCACTCTTCCTAGCTCCATCTCTTTCCCTAGTGCTGATGTTGGCACACCACGTGAGATTTTTTAACGTTGAGTTGATTTAAAGGGCAGCAAAGGCAATGATCGTATACAAGTTGTAACTGGTATTGGTACATGCCCGAGAATGGAACCTTAGGCTGCTGTAATTGTAGCAAAGTGCATGGACCACAACACCACTGATCTCCAAAAGAGCTTGTGTGTGTGTCTCTGTAATAAATAGTGTATGTAAACTTCACACTATCACACACACACACACACTGGGCTCTTGTTAAATGACCATCCTGTACGGTGAAACTATAATTGCAATAAAGTTTAAACTCATAAAGCTACATTATTGGCATGTGATAATTTAGTGTAAAGACAATAAAACACAACGATTTTAAGAATACATGCTGACTGATAATTGGCTGATGCGTAACTTACACGGGTGCATTTTAACAAGTAAAAATATTGGGATTTCCTATCATTATGCTGCGCTGGAAGAAGCTATTAACGCCAGTCATCAATCAACATCAGGATGCTGCAGCAGCAGCAACAGCATCAGCCCTGGAGAGAACCTCAAAACGGCGAAGACATCCGTCAACAGCAATGGGCGCAACAACAGAACCAGCCATGAGATTGATCAGTGACATTAGATAAGGTCTTAATGCACTTCTTGTTTCGAAACCCAGCTCAAGAGACCTCTTATGTTTGATTGAGTCATCGTGTATCACGTCTGCAATGATTAAGCTGTAATATTTCAGGAGAAAAACATCTTGCGGGTGTGTGTTTTTTGGTGGTGGTCGGGAGGGAATGGACCGATTGAGGTGGTGTGATTTGAGTGAAGTATCCGTGACTCATTTCAGCTTAGTAATTTCTGAGCCACTCAAGGACATATCTCAAACTCTGTTAGTGGCATTCCCTTTCAAGCATACTTAGAGCTCAAAACATAATTATGGTAATTATACAAATGAAAAAAACACACACAGAACTCTGATGTATATTTTTTTATTACTTCTATAATGTATTTAAAGCAGTCGAAGGGGAATCATACATTTTAATTGTATCTAGACGGCCATGAGAAACCTGGTTTGAACACATGTTGAATAACAGCTATGTTCTTGTGAAGAATAAACAAAATATTATAAAATTATATCGTAACATTTTTTTAAATATATAATTTTAATTTATTGTGTTTCTTTTTTACAATTTTACAATTAAAGTTCCTCAATTTTCAAACTTTCCATACCCAAGGATTTTCATAAGGGGCCAGCAAACTGACTCGATCTCCCGTACGGCTGCGGGAGACAATTTAACTCTCCAAGCATCCCGAACGCTGAGAAAATCCAACCCTCGGTGTGCTGGACTCACAACCCCGGTTCGTGTCGTAAACAGGATTTGGTTGAGCGCCGACGGCGGAAGTGGCAGGCCCAGAAAGCTGTACACCCTGCCGGCCACCTCCCGCGGGTACCGAACAACGTCCTCGACCCTGATTAACTGCTGCGTATCTCCCGTGAGCTGCTTGTGGCTGCGCAAAGCGGTCGCGGTGTTGTCGCGCCAGGCGCTCGCCAGTAGGGCGGCCGCTGCCACAGAAGTGTTCCACGGCAGTTCCCGCGGAGTTGAAAGAGGGCGCGCACCGTCGCCGCAACCCTCGCTGGCGTTGCTCGCGGACGGAGGCCGCGGGTCCAAGTGTCGGGCTATTTTCAAACACACGCCCTCCGGGAATGCGGGCTTGCCGGGAAGCTCAAAGCAGCTGTGCATCATGGAATACACCCAAGTTCTCGGGTCACACACCACGTACAGTGCCTTCATCGCGGGGCCAATTACATCTTTCAGCGAGGGCAGCTTGTTGTTCCAGTTGCCGTCGTTGAGCCCGAGACAGAGCCGCGAATTTGGGAACGAGTCGAGGTGCTTACGCACGCGCTGAATGTTTCCCAGCTCGTCGCTCCGCGCACATTTTCTCTGCCCGTTGCCGCCCTTCTTTTTGAAAACGTGCCTCGTCGAATTGACCCTCAGGATTCCTTTCGCCAAGGAGTCAGTGCTCAGCCTCGTCGCCTGGATTGCGTTCTGAACGTGCGTTCTCGTGTGCCTGACGAGCGATCGAAACCACTGCCAGGTCTCGGGGAGCTCATCGCTGTGATCACTGAACAGGGGCCATTTACAGGCGTCGCCGGAGGGAGCACCAGGCACTGCAACAGATGGCGGGCGAAAGTAAAGACTGGGAATGGGGATGTACACAAAGTCAGAATTTCCCACGAAGAGCTGACTCACAACCTCGGCTCCTGAGGCTGGGAGAGATGCTATCACAACGGTTGGCAATTCCTGAGGAGCATCGAGTGAAATTAAAGGCAGTTCATCAATCACTTCGGATGCCACTACAGATGTTAAGTTGGCCCAATCATTTCCACACAACTCTTGGAAACAGACATTCTGCACAACTAATATTTCAAGGAGCCAAATAATTATCAAAATGAGAAAAACTGACCTGGCGATCTTTTGCAAACCTACACTGGACTTTCGGTGAATAGCCACCAAAACTACACCTGTCACTGACGATATCCCCATAAATATAATGGAAATCCTTAAAACAAACACCGTCTCATGCTTGTGTTTGGGTTTTATAACTGTACCCTGGCCAAAGTAAGTGACTTTGCTTCTATCCTCAACCACAGCAAATCCGCCAAAACCAAGAAACCCATGTCTGGCTACAGGATCGTCATGCTTAGTAGCAATGGATATAACTTTCTCCACATTGTCTAAGCAAACAGAGAGCCTGACGCCATATTTACTACTCTCGATGAACTTTAAGTTGTTAATGTTTACAAATGGACCGTGAAACATGTAGGCAATCCTAGTCACTTGACTTTGCATGGGAAATGTCACGTTAACATACTGGGTCCAACGCTTTTTCATCTCTGCCATCAGCTCGGCTTCTTGGATCCTCGCCTTTGGGCTATTGCCCTGATCGTCAACCCAGAACATTTTGTAATGGGCATCCCAATCGTCCATCAAGGCGCCGCGATACCCGTTCTCTGTGGAAAGAGGGACGTATCGAACGTCGTAATCCAGGTTGTGAAAAAAGGCACTAACGAGATTGACTGGAGATCTCTCAGCCCTCTCGATGTGATCCAGCACCAACAGCGTCTGTGTGTTGAGCAGGACTAGAGCGCGGTAAACGCTTCTCAGCATCATCCCTCCGCCGTAAGCTTCAACGGCCTCACCGCTGGTGAACACCATGTCCCCATGCTGAGAGGCGGTGATCAGCTTTCCTGCTCCCAGGCCTCCCGTACCCGCGTCAGTCTCGGCCCACTCCATGAACTGCCCACACTCGCCCAACTGCCCTTCCCACGGCCGGTGGCATTTACTGCTGGGCGACGGAGCGAAGACCAGTGCGTTGTTGAGGTAAGTGTATTTATGGCCATAGAGGGCCTCTGAAACGAAGGCACGCCCGTTCGGGGCAAACGTGAACGAGTTTTGATCGGGGTGCTCGTGCGCTGGGTTGAAGGCGCCCATCCCGTTGTTCAGCCAGCGGTAAGGGCTGCACTGAGCCAAGCGCCGTGCCGCCGTGCCTCCCACCGGCCCGGACTTGAACGACACAAAGGTGCTCCTGTCGTCCAGCGCAAGTCCCCCTCCGTGCGTCAGCACGCCCCAGTCGGTGAACAGGTGCAGCCTCGGCTTCCCGTGGCCTTCGGGGGGCTTGGGCACCAGGCGCGGGTCGTACCACACGAACTCGGTGTGCAGGGTGGCCCACCTCCACGCGCTCGAGTGCTCCATGGGCCCGTCCCTCGGCCTGTGCCTGCGGATCTGCTGCGCGAGCCAGTTGCCGCTGCCGTTGCGCAGCACGTACGTGTCCAGGAACACCAGCTGGCTCTCGGGACCGTAAAACCAGTTGTAGTTGGAGTCGGCGATGCCCACGGTGCGCCTGAAGCCGGGCAGCACAGTGGCCAGGTAGAACCAGTAGTGTTCCCGCAGCCACCCGCTGCGCGTGTGGTCTATGCCCAGGTGCCTGAGCGCCAGGAACACGTACTGCGTGAGCGCTCTGCTCGCGTAGCTGCCGTACGCGACGCCCTCTTGCAGCGATCCGTCCACCACGTGCTCCAGCAGCAGCATGGCCCTCTGAAGCTGGCCCGTGGCCGCGCGCTTCCAGCGTGTGGCGCGCGCGCGGTGCGTTCGATGCGGCTCCAGCACGAGGGCCCCCGTCAGCACGGCGAGCATCCCCGTCACGGCCCGACCGTCCGTCGGCTGGGCGCTCCAAGGCCTGGCCCGCCAGTGCGAGAACACGTCGCCCGTGGCGTCGGCCAGCGCGTCCAGGTGATCGCGCCGCTTGGACGCGTTCAGCTGCGCATACAGGAGGTCCACCGCCGTGGCGAGGCCGAGCAACGTGTGCGCCCCCGACGGGTGCTCCTCGTGAACGACACCCGAAGAGAACGAAGATGACGAAGATGATGATGATGATGACAATGAAAGCGCCAACCGTGGCGTCATCCTAATCACCTGCTGCTGTTGCTGATGACGGCGACGTCGACGGCTCTGCTCGGCCAGCCTCTCCGTGAAGTCGAGAGCCAGGGCGAGCGCCGCTCGATCCGCGGGAGCGAGCACGCAGTGCATAGCCAAAGCGCCCACGTTGCTGCCGTAGATCTCGGCCCAGCGGGGGCCGGGTTCCCCGCTCCTGCCGCGACGCGCGGCGGCTTCCGCTGCGCCGCTGTTAGTGGTGCTGGTGGCGCTGTCCGTGGTACCAGCCCGGAAGCTGTCCGTGGCATGCGCCCAGCTGGCGGTGTCCGAGCCGTCCGCGGCTGGACGAGGCGGCAGGTAGACGTCCGGTCTGGCGAGCATCGCGTGCGCGGCCCTGCGCAGAGCGCGGGTGAGGTGCGCGTGCGTCGAGTTGGCCCTCGATCGCAGAGCGCGAACGTCTGCCGTGCCGAAGAGCAGGCGAGGATGCGGCTGCTGCTGCTGCTGATGATGATGATGCTGCGGCTGCCGCTGCTGTACCGAGGGGTCCCCGCCGGCTCCTTCGGCCCCAGCCCCGGCCACCTCAGCCCCGGGCCGGGCCCCGCCCCGCTCGGAGCGGCGCTCAAAATCAAAAACTCCGGCTCCTCCATAGTGGCTGCTTCTGCTACTTGCGCACCCGGTGAGCAGGAGCAATGCGCAGAGTGCGCATTCCCAGATCAAGGCTGCGTGTGTCGGGGCTTTCCATATCGCCATTTATTCATTCAGTCTTGCCACTTTTTTGGTTTGTATTCAGATGAGTCGGTGAAGGTTGTGTATGAGCCGGTGAAGGTTGATGGGTGTGTTGTGTGTGTGATATATATGTGTTGTTGCTGCTGATGCTGCTATTAATGAGTACGCTATCCGGTTTGTGGTTTTTGCTGTTGTTAAAACCAGTCCCGACTCTCGTGGTCCGGTTTCCTCCCCCCCCCCCAACCTCTAACGCAGAAAAAAAGGGCCAACTCTGCGCTCTAAATCAGCTCCTTTTTATCATGTCTTGCTTTTTATTCTTTACATTTAATTATTTTATTTTACAACGCATGTGTGGTAGAACTGCCGCACTTTGCAGTACGCTTCTCGCACTCTTCCAGTGCTGTGGCCCCGTACGTTACGTAAATGCCTCTCGGGTTGCTGTTGTTGTTGTTGTTGCTGTCGCCACTGATGTTGCTGCTGCTGCCGCTGCCGCTGCTGCTGTTGTTGTTGTTGAGTAACGTTCATAAGGCATTCGAAACGCAGAGAAGGCACTTACTGAATGGACCGCGCGCGCGCACACGCTCGCAGTGCAGTCTGTGCTGACGTTAACTTGCACAGAGCTACTCGCCCTACCCGACGTGGTGGCAGTAACAGCCCGCTCGGAAGAAAAAAAAAATGAGCTCAGAGCGAACACAAAAAAAAAGACAAAAAAGCAACGTGCGTCCAAACGCGCTCAGGCTAACAGGAGGAGAGAGTGTGTGTGTGTATATATATCTTACAGTATATAAATAAATTATTATTACGCATGTGATACGCAACCCCAATGATTAAGGATTAGGCCTTACCGAGGGAACTTGAGTGTAAGCCAGATTGGTTACCGTATTACTGTTGTTGCAGACCAAACCGCGCGAGGCTAACCACACGAGATGATTAACTTTACAACTCGCTCGCCAGTGCGAGCCTGGTGGTGAGCGAGGCTCTGTGACGTTGAAGTCATTTCCCCTTCGTGAATGAATGGTCACGTTGATCTCGCTGAGAAATCTATTAATGCCGATTGTTTTTTTTTACGTGGCCTGCAGCGGTAGCATAGGATTTGTATTACAGTCTATTAATATATACACTATGTATAAACTGTGCAGGTACCTGCAATGGCATTCACGTAAACATATATACATTAAAATTGTTGCCCTATTATTAATTCCTATTTAATGTGCAAAACCGTATGTAAAATTATATTGATGACCGTGCTATATTTACTCGTTATTTTTTTTAAATAAATACAAATTAGGACATCGATTTTAATCGTCAGTCATCAGTCTCAGCAGGTAAATGAATACGGTACAGCCCATTAGCAAGGAACGCCAAGATAATTGTTCACGCTGGAGTGTTGTATGCACCCACATATTTCAATCAAGCGCAGCACAGTTGCGTGATAAACACCGGTATTCGTGACTATACGTGTACCACTACACGTGTTTCAGGCACATGGCATGATTGCGCCGGTTCAGACATGATAAATGATCACGTCTGAATAATGTGCGTGCTTATAGAAAAGCAAAAAAAAAAACGTTTGGAAAAGGTTTATTTAAGAAACCTTGGGCAACTTTGTGAGTTGCTCTTTGTTTTTAAGTTTTGGGACAATATGTTCTGTGACACTGCGCGCGTTCACATGGACACTTACATGCTGGGTGTAATTGGCTTCCTTCCAGAATCAAGTCACATCGCGCAAAAATTATCGCCAGCATTCACCGCGGTACAGAGTGCCCTCTGGTGGTCAATGCGAGTGAATTTATTTTTTGCTGATGGCCTTCACTGCCTTGAAATCCCCCCCCCGCCCTCCTTTCATATGCTACATTACACCTGCTTCGTGATGAATTGGAACTGTTAATGCGCGTGATATGTACCGTATATATTTTCTTGCCTCTTTAGTTTAACGCAGCTGCAAACAAGTTAACTCGGCAGGCGTGTGCCAAGCTCCCTGCAGGACATATCACTGATGGGCGGTCGCACATGCCCCCAATTATGTAAGGCACGAGGTAGTTTAAGCTCTGTCTGCATAGAGGGCAGGAACTCTGTTGTGGTTTGTAATTGACAATGCAACATCCGCTTATTTTGTATGAACTCGCTAGCATTCCTCAAAGTTTTACTCGCTGTGATAAAAAAAAAATTGCACGAAATTAACAATTAAATATTTGGCGATGCTGCTGCTGCGTTGGCAGCAGTGCACAAGCACAAATAATAATAAATACTCAACGTGTTCATCAATAACACTCTGGCCATTAAAAGCATGCACTAAAACTAAATAAAGTACTGCACGTGCATAGTGCAAAATGTTCACACGTGCACATATATAACGGTACATTTGCCTATGAATACATATCCACATACATATAGATGCAAAAAAACCAGTATTTATTTTCTACACGAGAGACACATTTAAAATTTCTTGAATATTTGCACTGTGTAATATAAGGCGATAAGCCTATTACCAAATCACCTGGAATGCATCCAACCTCATCAGATCTCAGAACATAATCAGGGTTGAGCCGTGCGTAATAGGTGTTATAGGCTGCGCGTGGGCGCCGCTAATCAGCAGCACAGGGCAGTGCAGCAAGATCAGCTGTTGCACTGCTCTGCTTCCTCCTGTAATATATACAAAGACAAAGATCCCCCGTATAGCCTGAACAGGCTGCTGGGGCAAGTGTTGTTAGCGGACACGGCACACGAGGGGTTGGGGTGGCCAGCACCACGCCGCCTTTGTCTCCCCAGTAGTGATGTTTACACGCCACACCAGGTACTAATTTCAGGCTGAGTTGACCTAGGGGAGGCCCAGGGCCGGTTCAGATAATCGTCACCGGTGTTGGCCGTGAGCGAGTCTATGCTCCCTATCTCACTATCCTGCAGTGACCTGTGTGATAAAGTATGGTCAAATAACCCCCACCCCCCCCCCCCCCCCCACGATCCTCCACATGTCCCGCAAGGCGTGGGGAGGCCCTTGTCGTAAAGCAGTAGCTTGATAAGGAAATGCACGTGTATATATATAAAAAACAGTGTTTGCTTCTGTCAGGAACTAACGTAGGAACTGCAATGTCCAAGAGCTGTCTTTCCGCTTAGATGTGTCTGCCACATACGGTGGGGCTTTCAAAAGTCACTTCGTTCCAGCAAAAAAAAAAATAGTCAGATGAAGTGTATGTCGTTTCATTGCAATGTCGCTGGAGGCATGAAAGATTCATGCCCGCATGCTCTCGGCATAATGAGGCACTCCTTGACTGAGGTGGCATCGAGAGGGGGAAGACATCGGGAATGGGCATGGAGAGATAAAGAGGGAGAACGTAAGGAAGCAATGAAGGATGCACATGGGGATGAAAGTGGAGAGGGGAAAAAATGGGGACACACATTTGGAGCACACGCCCTAAGGAGCCTCCCACCAATGTTGCAGAATCAAGACACGACAGGTGAGAAATGCGGCGCTGCAGTGCCAATATGTGGACGGGGTCAATGTAGCAACACCAAAAATATAACACGGGACAAAATCGCCGCACGTAACCGCCGCCGTCCTCACTGATTTAGTACTCGGTGATGACTAACAGAGGGTAACGTTTATTTAGGACGACAGCTTTTATCATTTCTCACATCTTGCCACATGGTGCTTTCGGAGCATTGTCTTAAGGACAGCGTTAACGTGTTAGTTATTGTTTGGTGACCATACGGAATGGAATAGCTTGAGGCAATCACAATTCAGGCGTGTGGGAGTACAATTCGTTATTAGGCTTAAAGAAAATGCAAAGGGAGGGAGTGGAACATATCTTTGAAGACGAACATGTTTTTTGAACGTGAAACCGAGGTGGATATTTGTTTTCCTCGCCGTTTGTTTTGTTCCACCTCCACCATACTTTTGACCTCTAATAGTTGCACTTTAAAGGGGGAAAGGTGGAGGCTTCCCTGTATCAAACACGGGGATCGGTCGGATGGGATTGCTGGAATAGATACGCCCACTGCCTTGGGAACAGGAGTACCCTTTTTGTTAGTGCAAATAAGGAAAAGCACTTTAAAGAAACCAGTAGATAACAGATAATGTAGAGTGCAATCGCTAAAGCTGTACCACCTTCGACTGGAACCGTGACTTGGCATGATGGTAAAAGGCTGTATTTGAAGGGTGTGACTTCTACTCGGGTAACAGCACGAAACACTTGCAAAGGACACACTGTCAGTATTAATTTGCACTCAACACCATTTCAAAATACGCTAATGGCGGATATAGTTTGTGTAATTGATTCGGTAATGACTATGATGAGCCCTATATTTACATTCTCTAAATGCGACATTGGATGGTGACTGCCAGAGCTCATTTAACATCACACCGCACTGGCTTGCACGTTTGGCCAGAGGGTGTAATTTCACCACTGTCAATGATGTCATTTGCTAGAGCATTTAAAACTCCCTTACAGTAAGCCCAATTAATGTTACACGTTGTGATTAGTTAACTGCTACTTGGTTATAAATAAAAGTCATCTAACGGGGGGGAGGGGAAGGGGCGGGGTAGGGAGAGCAACGATAACGGTAGTTCTGTATCCATACTGACCACTGACCAGGCTACAATGAGGGAAAAAAGTATTTGATCCCCTGCTAATTTTGTACGTTTGCCCACTGATAAAGAAATGATCAGTCTATAATTTTAATGATAGGTTTATTTGAACAGTGAGAGATAGAGAATAACAACAACAAATCCAGAAAAATGCATGTCAAAAATGTTATAAATTGATTTGCATTTTAATGAGGGAAAAAAGTATTTGACCCCTCTGCAAAACATGACTTAGTACTTGGTGGCAAAACCCTTGTTGCCAATCACAGAGGTCAGACGTTTCTTGTAGTTGGCCACCAAGTTTGCACACATCTCAGGTGGGATTTTGTCCCACTCCTCTTTGCAGATCTTCTCCAAGTCATTAAGGTTTCGAGGCTGACGTTTGGCAACTCGAACCTTCAGCTCCCTCCACAGATTTTATATGGGATTAAGGTCTGGAGACTGGCTAGGCCACTCCAGGACCTTAATGTGCTTCTTCTTGAGCCACTCCTTTGTTGCCTTGGCCGTGTGTTTTGGGTCATTGTCATGCTGGAATACCCATCCACGACCCATTTTCAATGCCCTGGCCGAGGGAAGGAGGTTTTCACCCAAGATTTGACGGTACATGGCCCCGTCCATCGTCCCTTTGATGTGGTGAAGTTGTCCTGTCCCCTTAGCAGAAAAACACCCCCAAAGCATAATGTTTCCACCTCCATGTTTGACGGTGGGGATGGTGTTCTTGGGGTCATAGGCAGCATTCCTCCTCCTCCAAACACGGCGAGTTGAGTTGATACCAAAGAGCTCCATTTTGGTCTCATCTGAACACAACACTTTCACCCAGTTGTCCTCTGAATCATTCAGATGTTCATTGGCAAACTTCAGACGGGCATGTATATGTGCTTTCTTGAGCAGGGGGACCTTGCGGGCGCTGCAGGATTTCAGCCCTTCACGGCGTAGTGTGTTACCAATTGTTTTCTTGGTGACTATGGTCCCAGCTGCCTTGAGATCAATGACAAGATCCTCCCGTGTAGTTCTGGGCTGATTCCTCACCGTTCTCATGATCATTGCAACTCCACGAGGTGAGATCTTGCATGGAGCCCCAGGCCGAGGGAGATTGATAGTTCTTTTGTGTTTCTTCCATTTGCGAATAATCGCACCAACTGTTGTCACCTTCTCACCAAGCTGCTCGGCAATGGTCTTGTAGCCCATTCCAGCCTTGTGTAGGTCTACAATCTTGTCCCTGACATCCTTGGAAAGCTCTTTGGTCTTGGCCATTGTGGAGAGTTTGGAATCTGATTGATTGATTGCTTCTGTGAACAGGTGTCTTTTATACAGGTAACAAGCTGAAATTAGGAGCACTCCCTTTAAGAGTGTGCTCCTAATCTCAGCTCGTTACCTGTATAAAAGACACCTGGGAGCCAGAAATCTTTCTGAT